GCCTCCATATCTCCATTTTGCCTTAAATTGGTTTTGATGCCAGCAGAGTGAGAAAATGCCAGAGGCTCTGGGTGGGTGCCCCATCGTAAATGCACCAAACAATTCCTAAAGATTTTCCAAAACACTACTCTGTCGATAAATTGTAGCACTTTGAATTAGCACCAGAGCTTTAAGAGCTCTGCAGCTGTCACCTGGAGACTGGCAACAGCTTGTTTAAGGGTGGGGAGTATGGCATTTATGGCATTGTATCTGTCTGAGGTCCTCCTCCTCCTCCTCAGACCCCACCCTCAGCATGCTTCATCCCTAAAATATCCTGGAAGTTTCCAACCTGGAGTTGGCAACCCTATGTCCTTTCCAGGCAACCATCAGCCTACCTTTATCTGCCTGTCTGTCTTCAGGTTTACATCCCCCCCCCCAGCCTCTGCCTAGGGAAAGGGCAGTCTTTCCCTGCAGTGGGAACCAAAGCAGCTGACATCATTCTCCTCTCCCCAGTATGATCCGCACACCCTATGAGGTATGTTAAGGTTGAAAGTGTGTGAATGGTCCATAATCCCCCAGGCAGCTTTTAAAACATGAACCTGGGACCTGCACACCACCAGAATACAGCAGGTTCCATATGCAACTGACATTCCAACTGCCTTGCGGGGGGGGGAGTTTGAGGTGTGGAATGGAGTGAAGTCCAATCAGCTTCCATATGCAAAAGACCAGGTTGTCGCAGCAGTTGTGGTGTGGGCGGGACCCGGGCTTTGCCTCAGCGTCTTCTGACTGACAGTTCAAGCGTCCATACACTAAAGGTGTGCATTTGGAATGTTGGTCCCCACTACTGCTTTATAATATAAGGGAGAGATGGCTGCTCTTTTTAGTCAGAGTTACTCATAGTGTGCTTTGTCCAGCAGCTTTCTGAGAGAAGGGAAGGTCACACAAAGTGGGGAAACTGAGCGCAAAAACCAGGAAAATATATAGGAATTCAAAGGATTCAGTTTGCCGTGGTCAGTCTACTATCTGCCAGCCAAGGCCTTCTTTAAAATGACTCTTAGAATTTTTCCTAATTAATATTTCTGATACATGCTTTGAACACTTAGAAGAACTAGTATGTAAATATAAGTTGCCAGGGGCTCTTTTTGTAGAAAAAGCCCAGCAGGAACTAATTAGCATAATAGGCCACACCCAACACCAGAAACTCATTAGTGCATTAGGACGCACCCCCATGTTACCAGAAGTGTGGTTATCCAGCCACACCCACCTTTTGCTTGTTATTCTGTTTACCTTGTTTTTTGTCAAAACCCAGGACTTTTTTTGTAGCAGGAACTCCTTTGCATGTTAGGCCACACACCCCTAATGTAGCCAATCCTAATGAGTTTCTGCTGTTGGGTGTGGCCTATTATGCTAATGAGTTCCTGCTGGGCGTGGTCAACTTAGGAGCCAGCCGGAACTCCGTTCCTGTGTGTTCCTGCCCAAAAATAGCCCTGTAAGTTGCTATAGGTAGCAAAATGGTCTTAATTAGGACACTACTTAACAAATAAATAAACAAAATTAAAATGTGTGGTTGCATCGGTGTAGTATTTTAGGTTGAACACACTTAGAACACATGAATTTGCATTATAGAGTCACAACAGTGGTTTATTGCAGTTATTCTTGTCTATTCTTACTGGCACTAGCTCTCCAGATTCTCATGTTGCGGTCTTTCACATCATCTACTACCTGGTCATTTGAACCGGAGATGCCAGGAACTGAACACAGGACCTTCTGTGTGCAAAGCCCATGCTCTATCACTGAGCCCCGTTGCAGTGATGCAGTCTGATCCAGGGAGATGTGTATTTTAAGGCCAACTTAGCCCAGTGGCATTGTAGTATCTGGCTGTTCCTTGAGGCATGT